TTTGTTTGTTTGTTGTTGTTGTTATATTATTAGTACTCTCTCTCTCTCTCTCTCTCTCTCTCTCTCTCTCTCTCTCTCTCTCTCTCTCTCTCTCCCACACTCTTTCTTTCGGTATGTGACACACGTGGCAGAAAGAAAAGGAAAATGCAGGCTCCCAATGCAGAGTGTGTCGGTCCTGAAAGTCCAGAGGCTGGAATTGCTTCATCCTGCCAAGGGTGTCCCAATGCTGCGATATGTGCTTCCGCGCCAAAAGGACCAGATCCAGATATTGAATTGATTAGACAGCGGCTGTCAGGTGTTAAACGAACTGTGATGGTTATCAGTGGAAAAGGGGGAGTTGGAAAAAGCACTCTGGCCAAGGAACTTGCATTTGCTTTGGGTAAAATGGGGCTAGGTGTTGGTTTGGTTGACTTGGATATCTGTGGTCCTTCCCTTCCACGTCTGACGGGGGTTCGAGGAGAAGATGCACACCAGAGCGCTGCGGGTATTGAGCCTGTCCTGATTGACGAAACGGTTTCCATGATGTCTATGCATTACTTATTAGGAGACAAAAATGAGGCTGTTCTTTTCCGAGGTCCCCGAAAAAATGGTGTCATAAAGATGTTTTTAAAAGACGTGATTTGGGGCGATCTCGATATTATGCTTATTGACACCCCTCCTGGAACGTCAGATGAACATATCACAGCTGCGTCACTACTACAACAGTGTGGGGGTGTGACTGGCGCCGTTCTGATTACGACGCCTCAGTTGGTTGCAGAAGCTGACGTAAGGCGAGAAGTGAGTTTTTGTCAGAAGGCAAAACTCCCGCTTCTGGGAATTGTAGAAAATATGAGTGGATTTGTATGTCCTAACTGTAAAGGAAGATCCGCCATTTTTCCACGTACGAATTTCCAGGGAGCAGGGAGGCGCTTGAGCGAGGAATTTAGGATCCCTTTTTGGGGTGAAGTTCCCCTGGACCCCTTGTTAATGAAGGCATGCGAAGAGGGGGTCGCGTTAACGGATGTAGTTGGCTGTAAAAGTCCAAGTCTTGAAGTACTGCAGTCCGTTGCTGCTAAGCTTCTTGCATCCCTAGATGTGGAATAGGGTACACAGTAGCATTTATCTTTTACTAATATATACATATATTGTTCTCTGCAACATGGTGATGCAAGGAACCAAAGGAGGAATGGAATGTGGTGAAGGTAGAATAAGCTAAGTTAACCGGAACGGATCTTGATTGTACGTGTCCTTGTATCTTCCTACACAATCCCCTACTTTTGTCTTTCCTTCTTTGAACTCCGAATTGCTTAGAAACTAATGTCAATAGTGGCCTCATTTGTTTCCGAATGTGCCCAAAATGGGCGTTGGATTCGAGGGCTTTTAGCGCTTCAGGGGAGTCTCAATTCTAAGGAAATGGATGTTTCTAGGGCAAGGATTCAGTTGGCGACAACAATCCTTGACAAACAATGGTGCACCGCATTAGCCTTGGTGCGACCGAGTGACATTTCCTACGTGGATGAACTATGTCGCTTTATATATGACTGTTCTAGGAGTGCGTGTGTACCTTCAGACGTCTTTGTTGGCGTCGTTAAAACATTCCTTCAGGCTGCAGAAGAGAGGAACGAGAAACAAAATCAGTTGTTTCTTTCGGCAATCAAGTGGACATCATGGAATCAGGCGCTGCAATTTTTCACAATGTTGAAAGATCCCAAGAGGAAAAGTATACAGGAACTCTCCGATTGGCTTAGGCTTAGCCACATCTTCGGCAGCAATGACAAGAGGCGTGCCATAAATACCATTCTTACGCAACTACATTCTCCTTATTCAAATCAGCCAAACGTGAAAAGTCAAACTAAACATAATCTGCAAAGGGTAATACCATTTCCCCCAGCAATGGGTCACGAAGAAAAATGTGGATTAGCTAATGCCTTGAATTCGATAAAATTGACTGAGTATCTCAGCATGACATCGGCAATGAGGATTGCAAACGCAGCGTTGCGTGGGGAAAATGTTTCGTGGAAACTGGCCATCTCCCTTGTTTCGAAACATCGAGTTGTGAAGGATTCGAATGAACTGTTTGCCAAGATGGTCGGAGTGTGCTGTCCGCAAAACTGGTTAGTTGCTTTGGAATATTTTCAGTTGGAAGGGAAAACTGCCTTGTGGCTTGCCTCACGTCAGAGTTGGCAGGCCGGTTTAATATTGCTGCAGTCGACCTTGCTACCAGGTCGTGAGGCGTACGATATTCTTAGTCGATGTGGCACCCCCAACACAGAGTCAAGAAAACTTATTACTCTTTCTGGAGCGAGCAAACGCATGCCTACCCCCAGCAAAAGGGCAATCGCCTCAATGCTTGCCAATGGATACCTTATTGAAGAGCTCCAGTTGAGCGCGTTTTCAAAAGTATGTCAGCGCACAGGGGATTGGGAGTCTGCTCTACTTCTCTTTAATCGCATGGGCACAGATGAGTTTCAGCGACGCGCCATTTTGACGCTTTTAGAATCATGTCCGAATATTACTGCGGAGCAGGTACTTCGACTAGTGAGCGCTCGTCATCCTGCGAGTGCGTCAACAGCCTCCATGATGATAAAACACGCCAATAGTTGGATGCAGGCTCTAAGTATAATGCGTCACGTAATGGCACGGGGGACCCGATGTAACCCGCAAATGTTGAGTGCCTTTATTGATGTCAATCCGCCACCTAGTGTTCTTTCACCGGTACTCAAAAAACTGAAACATGCGACAAACGAAGGTATCCGTCGTCGTCTAAAGTCACTGAAGAATGATGGTTTGTCTTGGTAATGGGCGGTAACGTGTGTGTATAGAGGTATTCCCTGGATTTGAGACAGCGCATTTGTCTGTTTTTTTTGTTTGTTTTTTTCTGAGTCTCGTCCTTACCTTTATAACCGACTCTGACTGCGAGGCAGTTTTAGAACAATTCAAAGCATAAAAAAAAGACTGGTAATAAGAATAAACACAACACTATACATTTTCTTTCCACTATTCTCTCTTTTTCTTTTTCTTTTTCTTCTTTATCCTTCTCCCTCTGTGTGTCTGCTTCCTGTTTGCGTTTATGTAGATAATAAATGCAAAGTTCATTGTGTAACAATTCAAAACATGCTTGCCGTGACAAGATTGCCAACAAAGCCCTTTCTCGATCAAAAGCCGGGAACATCCGGGCTGCGCAAGAAGGTGAAGGTGTTCCAGCAAGAAAACTACCTCTCAAACTTTGTCCAGAGCACCTTTAATGCCATAAAGAAGCAGGGTACGACGCCCGATACCCTGGTCCTTGGCGGTGACGGACGCTACTTTCTCGCTGAGGCTATTCAAACCATCATTAAATTGGCCGCCGCCAATGGGGTATCAAATATTTGGGTGGGAAAAGACGGCCTCCTTTCGACCCCCGCCGTGTCAAACATCATCCGTCAAAGAAGGGACGGTAATATCAGGGCGAAGGGAGCCTTTATCCTCACGGCAAGCCATAACCCCGGTGGCCCTGAGGAGGATTTTGGTATCAAGTACAACACGGAAAATGGAGGACCTGCAGCTGACAAACTCACATCTGCCATTTACGAAGAAACTCTGAAAGTTGATCATGTACTTATCTGTCCTCATCTTGGCCCAGTAAATGTGTCAGAAATGGGTGACCACGTTTTCGACACGTTGAAAGTCTCGGTCATCAGTAGCACGGAGGATTATGTACAGTACATGCAGAAAATCTTTGATTTTCAAAGCATCCGAAAGCTGCTGCATCGACCCGATTTTAAGATTCGCTTGGACGCCTTAAATGGTATTGGGGGTCCATATCTGAGGGAAATTTTTGTCTCCTCCTTGGGGCTTCCAGAAGGTGTTTTGCATGGGGCTACACCGTTGCCTGACTTTGGTAAGCACCACCCGGACCCAAACCTCACCTACGCGAAGGAGCTTGTGGAAGCTGTGGGAGTGGATTCAACTGGTACACCTCTTGCCGGCGTCGTTGGCGAGGTACCAAACTTTGCGGCGGCCTTTGACGGCGATGCGGATCGCAATATGATCCTCGGCGATCGCTTTTTTGTCACCCCGTCCGATTCTCTGGCGATTCTTGCCGCAAATGCCAATGTTGTGCCATTTTTTGCCCAACAAGGCGGCGTTAAAGCGGTGGCGAGATCTATGCCAACAAGCGGAGCCGTCGACCGTGTTGCGGAAGCGCAGCACTTCAAACTCTTTGAAGTTCCTACGGGTTGGAAGTTTTTCGGAAATCTGATGGACAGCCAAGAGTTATTTGGAGGTGAAAACTATAATCCCCTCATTTGTGGGGAGGAAAGCTTTGGCACCGGCAGCAACCATATGCGTGAGAAGGATGGTGTGTGGGCGGCGCTGTTTTGGCTTTCGGTTATTGCGAGCAAAAACGTGGATCAAGCAAAGCCTCTTGTAGGGGTAAAGGAGATTGCTGAGGCCCACTGGACGGAGTATGGGCGGAACTACTACTGTCGGTACGACTACGAAGGCGTGACGGAGGAGTCTGCCAGGGCTGTGATGGAAACGGTGCAGAGGCAGCACCCCGAGGATATTCCAGCCTTGCAAGGAAAGCGCTGCGTCAAGATTGACAACTTTGAGTACCACGACCCTGTCGACGGTTTGGTTTCCAAGAATCAGGGCATTCGTGTGCTCTTTGAGTGTGGTTCTCGCTTCGTGCTTCGCTTAAGCGGAACGGGCTCGTCGGGCGCCACCATTCGCCTATACCTGGAGCAGTACATGGAGCCCCAGGCGGTGGTGCGGCACATCCGTGACGGCACCTTACCGACTGCTCGGTCTGCGTTGGCTGAGCTCATCGCCCTCGCCCTTAAGGTCGCGCAGATTTCAAGTCTTACAGGGCGTGACGCCCCCACAGTCATCACGTAGGCGGTAGCAGAGGTGGGAGCGGAGAAGCAGCGAAATGCTGTCTGTCTGCCTTTAGTTGTAGTTTTTTTTTTTTGGGAGTGGAGGGAGGGAGGGAGGGGGGGTGAAGAACAAATGAAAAGTAGTAAGTGGCGAGACGAAGGAAGTGAGAATACGCATCTTTTCCCTGCGACTGTACACCCATTGGTTATGACATGCAGATGTGTCTATGTATATATATTTATACAACAATTTATCTTTCACTCGATAGAAACGCACGAAAACAAAAAATGAAAAATGAAAAAATAAAAATAAAAACCAAAAATCCTTTCCATTTCTGAATCCTCCCTGAACTTGCACCCTCCTCTTCGTTTGCTTTTGCTGCTGCCCCCTTCACTTTTCTCCGACTTTGCTTTGTTT